TACTCGAAGGGGACTTTTGATGTTTATGAACTAGCTGGAGGAGAACTGAATGCAACATTTAATGAATTACGTGTTAAAATGTGTTAGCACTGGAGCACCCAAGATAATATGGAAGGCTGATATGCATATGGACAATTTGGCCACAATTATAAAAAAATGATACCTTTCATGTTTTTTAAGAAAGCTTTAGTTGTATATGATGTAAATATGATTGATTTGAAAGTTCTCCCAGTTCAGACGAGGACAAGTCCAAGCTTTTCCTTTTTGATGATATTTGTCTTTTTTGTTTTTTTAAATAAAATGTAATTATTTCATTATTACAGTATCTATTGTTTGGTGTTGATAACATGTATATCAAGTTTGTGAGAGGAACAATTGTTCTCTTAACATTAATTTGTACTCATTCCTAAATAATAATACGGAGCATTTTAATTTGAACACTAGAGCTTAATCGTCCAATATCTTCTTGATTCCTAAATCATGAACTTATTTGCTACTCGGAATATGGAAACCTTCAGTTAAGTAGATTATAAAGCACTCAAAATATGCTGTGGAGAATCAGTGAGATGCTTAATAGTATAAAAATAGCTGCCATTACATAATATCACTGCTGTTAATGGCTTTTATTGCTGCAAAGGTGGAGGCTACCTGAGGTAACGTGTCCTCAGAGAGCTCAGCTTTTGGTGGACACCATGTAGCTGTAGATGTGGTGTTCCTCAGAGCTCTCCTCTGGGCTCTCCTCACAAATCCCACCATCAAACCAATTCACTGCTTTGTCCCCAAAGCTCTTCTGGTACGTCCTGGATTCTTCGTTGTCCGGGGAGGTGCGATCCAAGCTGGGAGATCCTCCGTCTTCAGCAGAACGAGGAGGTTTTTCGGTGGACTTGCCCCCTTCAGTGTCACTCACTTTGGGATTAAGGCTGAAAGGCTTCTGGTTTGTGTTGCAGCTCTCGATAGGCTGATGTGTGATCAGTGAGAAAGTTGTCTTTTTGGGCCGGGCCTGCTCTGGCCTGCACCTGGGTGTGTCCCAAGCTTTGTAGGCCTCCCTCATGGTGGTTGTGGACTCAAGGGGCTCGTTGACCCTCTCTCTGTGCTCCATTGGCAGTATTGGTTTGGTGCGCTGACATTTGTGTGCCGGGAAGTCTGTGTGTGTTGTGGAGATGAACTGGTTCACATCTGCAGATGGAATGGACTCTTTGGCTTTACCTCGGCCCTGGAACTGGGTTTCAGGGGACCCGTTCTCAAATGACTTATGGGCTGCGTCAAAGAGCTCCCTGTAGAGGGGCACTGCCGCCTGTAGAGGCAGACCTTTGTTCTGCTGCACCGGCTGTTCCCTGCGTTTCCTGGGCTGCACCGGATGGGCGACATAATCTGATCGGTAGCTGGTGATGCTTTCAATAGGCTGAGGTTCTAGCTCCTTTGGGACTGCTTTGCAATTAGCTCCAACGTGAACTTTCTGGAAGGGACTTTGTTTGGAAGTGCTGATTGGGGCAACTAATCCTTGCTTGACTTTCAGGCTGTCAGTTAGCTTATACGGCTGCCGCTTGATTACCTTCCATGCCTGGAAATCATCTGAACATAACAGAAGGGGAGAATGGATTTAAAATCAGAGTGTGTGTATTTGTTGTTCTGCAACGTATGATTCTACTTACCTTTGTACACCGATGTGTAAAACATGGCTGCCACCTGGTTGGCTATGGAGCGTGCAGGATTTTGGGGAGCGCTGCTGCATCTGCGTTGGACTTTAGGGGGCAGAGACTGCTGCGGAGCCTCCGGTGGATGGTGCGTATATTTGTGGGTTACATAGACTCTTCTGAAACGCATTAATGATATGAGCTTTAGCTTTTTATTTTGTCTGTCTTATACAGGTTTAAAACCACACCTCCTCCAACATTCTCCTTATGCTGTGTGAGCTGTGAGCTTAGGGTTCCCATGGCCATGGAAAACCTGGATTGTTGTGACATTTAAAAATCTATCTTCCCCCCCAATCAGTTAAATCCTTTGAAACACACAATTCTACATTAGTAGTTGTTTACATTGATATGATAGGTAACATTTGTAGACAGTTCTGTTTGTGTAGGTTGTCAATGTTCTAGGATTTGTTATCAGGAATCATTTTGTGTCCTGTTCAACTCCAGGGACCTACATTTCCCAGAATGGCTTTCACCACAACACCTGTGCACCCAGCAGCACTGCAGCATGGACTGTTGTGCCTCACAGGTGGGGAAGTACAGACACACTCTCAAATGTGGGACTAGAATTTTAACTCTTACATGAGCGAGCCCTTGTCAGAGCTGGTCCCCTTCAGCGTGTGGTAAGGGGCTTTTTGTGGGGCGCTGGTGACCATGGCCGCGTGGCAGCGCGGGGGGAGGAACTTCTCTTGGTACTCGGTGGACATGGAGATCCGTTTGTGGGCTCTCTCTCCGAGCGGCTTCCTGGACACCAAGGAAAGGCAAGTTTAACTCTCAAGAACATTGAGTTCAATCCACACAAATCCTATTAATGCTAGAAGTATAAAATAAACTAAATATAAAAAGGTTTGAATACTGAGTGGACAACTCGGTATTCGAACCTCAGAGAATACAATTAAACATTTAACTCATGAATGTTATTTGACCTACATTTGTGTGCCTGAGTTAGCACATTTCTACATTTTCACAATGATAATCAAAAAGCAAGTTTTACACATTGGGCGTTTGTGTTTTAATCTACATACAAACTGGTTAAGAATAAGAATGTAAAACAACAAAACGCATTTGAAAAATACAAGCAGGTCACTAGCTAGTATTTTGGGTTCTCTTTATGAAAACCTTTTTCAAATTGCAATATTTCCTCTGTCTAGATCAAACCTTATACAAAGATGATCTCACCTCACAGATGTGGCCGGTGGTTTTCCGTTTTGCTCCCTCATGTTTTGGGGGTGCATCGCTCTTCAGGTGCTTTTTGGCGTCCTGTGTCCCGGGTGGATGCAGCCTGCTCGGTGACTGCTGCAGGCCTACAGCATATGAATTATTGACCGGAGAAACATGGGCTGTGTGTTGAACGAGACTGGAACGCAGCGGACGAGAAATCTAAAAATAAACATCAACGGATTACTGATGCGCCGGTTGTCAAGGCTGCGCGTGATGATGCGCATTTTGGCGTTTAAGGAGGATTCTAATCGCTCCTGTAGTAATGTTATATAAAGCAGAGGATCCACTTTTGAATGTAAACAAAGTAGTCCATCATCCATTACAATTTCCTCCGTTTTTTTTGTAATGCTGAATATGCAAAGTGCAGTTGGATCGTGCATTTTGCAACGTGACTTTGTCGCAGCACCCCATCTGTCACTTTGTAGCATGTCCAAAAAAAAAAGGCAGGGGCAGATATATCTGTCAAACACACACACGCGCACACACACAAGGGAACGGTTGACCTCGTGAACTACTCACGGATGTTGTCATGGGGATTCTACTAGCACAAATGTTGAATTATGAATTATGGAAGCCATAATATCAGATGTATTTCTGTGTTTGTCCACTAGATAGCGCCCAACGCGTTAAAGAACGTATAGAGAGAGCACTAGCGCCAGACATAATATAACCCCTATTAATTAATTTAAAAAAAAAGTATTAAAGAGTGACAAAACACAGCTAAATAAATTGATTTTTTATTTATAATCGGTGTTTGATGAATGTCTGTTTGCCAAATGTACAGGTTATATTGGGACCCCTTTATAGTTTGGAATTTAAATAGAAGTAGGCCTACTGGAAATAATTGTAGTTTCTAATACATGCTTCTTTCAGTTGTTCTGGCTGATCAGACATCTGCTCAGGTTGAGGTTGCATGATGTCAGAAGACTCAACCCACCAATAAGAGTTTAAGATTCTAAATCTAACTAAATCTAAGGTGCTAACAGAAGATTGAGAGAGATGTCAATCAAGCATGAAGAAGCCTCATCAGGTAAAGTCATTAAAAACACCTGTAGGCATTCACCATCTTCAAATCCTCTTCATTATGTGATGCATTGTGGGAATAGCTTTGCCTGCCAACTATGCAAGAAAAACAAACAATAATGTCAGTATCTTGCTGTCTCTGTCAACGGATTAAAGGTCTTGAGGATTCCTTTTTAAATTGCGCTTGATTTGTGGTCATTGTAAAAGTAACATTCATGTTGTCATCTTGAAATGGGTGAACAGTGTAGAGGGGTAGATTCTGATTTGTCTTATAGTTGCCAAAGTGTGCACATTAAATTCAAATTGCAGTTAATGCTTAAACACAGAGAACTTTGTTGCATTGATGGTTAGACTTGTAAACAGATTATCATTGCACCATTCAGGCACACTTCACAGTTATTATGTGGATTATAGTTGATGCAAATTGCAAACATATTGAGATAAGTCTTCACAATCCTCACTCAATCCACGCAGTTTTGCAGTGTCATGCAATGTGAATCTCTATCCACTGTGTGCATTATCTGCTGTTTTGTGTTACCCAAATCCACTAAATTAGATTGTAACTTGAATTCGAGGCATCTATCAGTAGCAAAGGGACATACTGTGTGCCCTCCTCTGCATGATGTCTAATGAACACAATCAAGATCTATTCTCATGTTTGCACGCTTTAGTGAGTGCTTCTTTCCTCCCAGAGCTTTTAAGTCGTTCGTGCGTTTTTACGCAGCGCCATGGCCAATGACAATGTCAACGTTGCCATTCTTTGGCTGCAGAAAATAAAATTCAAACATAAATTATACCCACGAATGATTTACTATGCGTTCTCTTCTTTATTGCCCTTACAGTAAAACATGTTTTCTTTACAAAACGCAACCAGTAATTCCATTTTTACGCAGCGTCCTGTTTGAGATGTGACAGGAATACAATACAACTGCACTCCATGTCAACTAATGGCAATAGTGCTCGACTGTAAAAGCGCACAAGGAGCGGGTCAATACATTATGTTAATCAGTCAGGACAGATTGGAGGCGTGTTGTTGCCGTAATGAGGGGGAGCATGCCTGCACCGTGGAAAAGCTCCGAGTGGTAAAGCTGCCTCTGCTACATGCACACTGCCTTCCATTTCCCCAGCCTCTCTTTGTACTTTATTGTGCATTATAGCAATTTCCTCTGCAGCTAGACTACTGTGCAAGCGCTCGGTGCAACAAGTTAGCAGGAGCCGTGCGTGTGCAGGTTGACTTGGCTCCACTCTCTCTGTCGCCACAAAGTCCCTGTACGTGAACGCGGCGTCGCAGGCACACACGCGCAGCACAGTCACATTGTGCCATACATTCGTGACTCCGCGCCAGATACAGTTTTCTCTCAACACGCGCGTGTTGTTGTAGTTCAATGGAGATCTCGGAGGCAAGAGGAGCATCTAAGTGCGTGGAAAAAATGGAGAAAGAAGTGGCGCCTCAGAAGCGACAACACTGCCGCACAACAGTGGTGAACATTATCTCGTCTTTATGCTCAGTGGCGTCCATCGCCTTTTGCATTCTTCTGAGCATTAACACAGCTGACGTGAAGAACCGGGTTGTGGATTTGGAGAGTGGGAATGACGAGCACACCTTGATCCGAGCCCCGGGCTACTCCATGGATGATTTTAATTCATTGATTGAGCAACGAGTGGATGATCTGCTCTCTCAGGTAAGATTCACCCTCTTCTTTAATTGTTTTACTTTCCCCTAAACACACACTTTTGAATAAAAACGTCATTCTTTTCACATTTCAGCGTTCCTATGAACAATTTGTCAAGATCCGGACTGCCAGACAAGCATCTCCTGAATGCAGCTGCCCTCCAGGTACATACAGCTACTTTTCTCCCGTTGCATTGTGGACATGTGGTTTTCTGCAGGTGTGTGAGACTGGGGTTACGCCTGTGAGTTAGAATGAATGGAAGCCTTCTGATTCTGCCTTTTAGTTTATTTAATTGAACCCTGATGGTGGCAGTTTGCATGGGCAGTGTTGATAGTTGCTTTGAAGGATGCAGACAGCTGACTGCCATTACACTTAACAGAAAGAAAGGCATTTAACAGCGCTCTATACATAGAAGTGCTGAAGGGTTGTTTGAGATGTTGTCTGCTCACTTGGAAAATAAATGTTGAAATTCACATTTCCCACCAGTAGATGGAAACATTTATTCCCTCAGCTTTCTGGTCATTTTTGGGATGGAGTTGAGGTTTGGTTAGTGAGGCAGTGTGGGGAGATGTAGCTCAAGAGTTTTGGAGGGAATGCTGCACAATGTTAGCCAGAACATCACATTTTTTCATGTGCATCGGTGTAAGAACTCATTGGGGAAAAAGCTGTCAATGCTGCGCCTGATATTTGAGCTCCATTATGCTTACAGAATATGATGAGCTACTTACCAATTTGAATGGAAGTTAATGGCTATTCAGTTTTTCAATTAAGAATGTTTTCCATCTGTTAAACATCTCAGGATTGTGGACAAACATTTCTAAAATCAATAATATGAATTAGTGGATAGCAAACCCTAAAACCAGCCATTGGATGAAAAAAGCATTTTGTCAAAGCTAAAACAGGGATGGTTAGCTCACAAAAAAGTTAGCATTTACGAGATTCATGCATACACTTGGATATGTGAATTTATTTAGGATTCCACTAGATATGTCTTTTTTCTGTGAAATATTGTTGCCTCTAAAAAATGGCACATTTGGGATAAAAACGGAATCCTTGAAATCAGAATAAAGTGTAGTGTGTCACCTTTTTGTAAATAACACTTCACTGTGCATGGCAGAAATGTGCTCTCATTGAGGCACATGTGAACATTAGCTTGTTCCTGCAGACTGCTCTCTGTAACTGCTGAGCCACACTTAGACTGCATGCTGCAGGAAACTGACTGGCATGTTTTCACAACTTTTGAAAGTCTGATGCACCCGTCCACATCAGAGCCTCAGTGGGCTCCAGCTGGGGATGTAATACAGTAAGTGTGAACATACTGCAGGCGACCTCAATGGAAAGGTCACGGCTGTGACATTGTGCAGAGTGGAAGCCTTGTGGTTGGATTTTTCGGATGGACAATCCAGGTGTCAGAAAGCATCTGTGCAGCAGGAGTGATGTGCCCTTCGCAGGAAGCTGACATCTTACTAACATCAGGGACTGTTCTGTTGGGGACCATGACCTCTGACCCTTCTGTGGAGACAGAAAGCAGTCCTGAAACATACATTGATTTAAAAAGAAGGCCTTAATTGAATAATTAAAGTCTTAAAAATGCTACATTGGAAGAGTGATTTCCTGTTTATACTGATGCTGCATTGTTAAATCTCAACACACTTCTGTTTTAAGAAGAAAGAAAAGATATACACCTCTTGTGTTAACATTATGCAGAACCAGAAAGACGGAATATTTGCGAGTCTTACATCTAACCGCCTTAATCCATGAAAAGATTCCCACTGCCACAAACATAATCAAAGTACCATTATCATAATCAAAGAAACAGGGCTGGTAAATGCAATAACTCTAAATGAATGAGCTGCATTTTCTTGTTTTCACAAGTGACCTTATCAATTGCAAATGAGTCATCTGCTGCTGAGTGGAAATGCCTAAATGAATGAGCCACAAGTACTGAAAGTATTAACCATAATGAGCCTCTCACAATCACGCTGCTCTCTTTTCGCAATCCCTATCATATGCCTGCTATGTATTCTCTCCCACCACATCTCTGTAAAGCATAGAAATAAAACAACGAAAACATTTCACATCAAATGATGCGCGACGACGCTCAACCCAGGGCGGCACCGAGCTCCATCTTGGAAACTGGCACTCTTAAAAGTGATTACAGTGGTTACATAAAAACATATATATCATCGGTACACTTTGAAGAGTCTGGAGTGTATTTAATATCGTAAGGTTCATGCAGTGAACTTGTGCCATACTTTGGTAATGCTTTGGAGAAGCTATTTCAGGCCAAATATCTTTTTATGAATGCTGAATGGGTTCACTCAATATTTATCCTCCCTTCTGTCTAGGAGACAGCCCGTGGCTCAGATGTGGCTTTTTTTTCTTTGAGGGTAGGACCGTAATGTGCTTTTCACAGTCTTCACTTTATTGCTGTCAAAGAAGATGGAGTGGATGCAAAGACAGAGCAATGGTCCATAGCTTGAGGATATTTTATAGGTTGTTTCTGAATCATAGAAAGTTTTTATCTGACAGTCTTTCTTCAACTCTATTTTATTCATGCTGATGTAAGTCCTGGTTAATGAAGGTGAATCATTTTTTTTTCTGGAGCCATTCGTCATTCTAACAGTGTCTGGTATTGCTGCAATTTCACACTCGGTTATTAGCTCCTGAGTGCCTGAAAGCATTTTCACACTTTGGCTGTGATTGGGTCTGGACCTGAGATTGTTTTTGGCTTCATTAGCGTCATGGCTCTCATGCCCTAGCCACACAGTGACAAAACGGGTCGTATCCGCTACAGTTCTCTATCTTATAGATGGTTCGGCCACATGAGGCCGACAGGGAAACGTGGATAACGATAACGGGTCCCAAGGTGGGTAGATCTGCGGAGGCAACGCTCTGGGGGGCCAAACGGCTCCGCCCTATACGATCATTTCCTGATAACGAAAATACTGACGGGCTGTCAGGAGAGGGGGAGGAAAAGAGAGACTCCGTGTATTATTCTTATATTATTATATAAGATCGTTATTCATTTTTTTGAAAGCTCAATAAATAACAAAGAAGACCTTTGACCGGCACTTTTATAATTGTGTCCGGAAGATTTAAACTTTAAAACAAATTCTAACGGAAACACTGCCGCACGGTTCCCTCGTCCCTTGGAAGAGGCAGAGACAGAGACAGGGCCGTCCCTGGCCAACATGAGGCCCCACGCATAGTTATATGATGAGGCCCTCTGTTTCGCGAGCGTCGGGGGGGGGGGGGGGGGGGGGGGGGGGGGTGCTAGTGGAGCCTTGCAGCGGCGAAACCGTGCCGCGCCACACTAATTGCGCCGCATAACAGCCCGTCCACATAGCGGCGTGCGTTGACGCTTCACCATTCACTTTGAATGGGGTGACGTCACTTTTCGCCGAACTGCATCGTGGGAAGCGACGCGGAGCGTTGCTGGCGTGGCTCGCTGCAAAAGTTGAGCGTCAGCCAATCGAATCATATGCCAGTACAAGCTCTAGCCAATCAAACCGCTGCTTGTGTGTCAGGGGCGAGAGATTCATGTGATTGGTTGTTGGTCGAGTTTCAGACACGCCCGCCGGCAAGCGTTAACGCATGCCGCTGTGTGGACGGGCCGTAAGCGGATAGGTTCGCCATATTTTCGGCTCAGTTGAGGCACCCTCCGCAAGGTAAGGCCCCCTCCGCAAGGTGAGGCCCCCTCCGCAAGGTGAGGCCCCATGCAGTCTGCATGATCATCCTGTAGGGAGGGACGGCCCTGGGCGGAGAGTTGGGGTTTTTTCATCTGCTGGTGGACTACCGCGGAGATTTACAGCAGGAGCACACACTTGCCTCGGGGAGGGAGAAAAAGAGCCAGAGCCCTGCCTCTCCCCATCTCTGCTGCAACATCCACCGCGGAGAATAAACAGAAGGGCAACCATGGCAACCATGCATGCTCGGGAAGTCTTCTTCGCTGCTTTTGGTGTATTTTGTGGCGGAAGTACAGCACCACTTACAGGCCCGGCATATGTACTACAGCGTCTCCAGCGGGTCGAGCGGTCTCGTGTAGAAGGACACGTTTCTGGGGCCTATTGCGTGCGGTGTGCATGGAAGACTTTTTTGATATCAAATTTGGTTAGTGTGGCTAGGCCCTCAGTGATGCTCGGGCGGTCAACCGCTTTGGTTCAAACTGGAATAACTCAATAACTATTGGATGGATGGCCATGAATATTTGAACAGAAAGACAGTGTCTACAACGTTTGGTTTGGTACTGTAGGCCTTGAGTTAAAAAAAAGAAGGGAAATAGTAGTTACATTCAGTACAAAAGGGACAACAATAAATAAAAAAAACTGGTCCGATAATGCATTAGTCATTGCTTTGTCATGGTCTGAATGTGCAGTTTGTGAGTAAAACGTATGAGGAGGATGCAACAGGTTATTACAAGAAGATTGTGTGGAATAAAAAGACAATTTCTTTGGTTCTGCTGCATTGATTTATAGACTTTTTTTCCATCGTTGGACAATGTTGTATAGCTGCAATGCTAAATACATTTTTCTCTGCGCCCCATTTCCTTGTTCAACCCCATTCATTATTTTTCTGGGCTGCATCCTGAGTTTGAAAAACAGTTTTACTTTATACATTTGGTTTAAATAGTCCTGGGTTTAAGGGGGAAAGCAAAACCATCAAACATTTTTTGTGAATTGTCTGAAGTCACACCCACTGGAGCGATTGTTTCAGCTTTGGCGGGCAGTTTTGCTTTGAATTTTTTTGTGTAGCGTCTCCTCCCCTGAGATCTGCATTCCATACAGGGCCTGTTATTTTAATGGGACTATAATAAAATGTGCAGTCAGCAAGCACTGGTGCTTTGCTCTTCCCCTGTTTACTCACCCATACACCTCAAACCCCCCCTCCTCTATTTCCTCTTCTACCACTCTACAGCATTTCTTGAAGTTAACACTTCAAAAAGCCAGGCAGTTAAACACCGCCAATGTGCTCTTGAGAAAACAAACAACTGGTAATGTGCGGGACTTTTTTTTTCTTCCCACTAAACAGCCAGCGCATGTCTGCAGCAGGGGGTCATTTCAGCTGGCTGCTACGTCTTACGCATTTAAAATAAAACATAGGCAGATGCAGCAATATCTGTTGAGCTCCTTTAGTAAAATCCAGATTTGATTCACTTCAGCAGAGACAATCCTACACACATGTAGTCCAAGTCTCTACTTAAACAGTCCTTTTCAACTTGTTGTGGCCAGGCGGGGCTCCACTCCCCCTTCCCGCCTCACAAAGTGTGTAATCCCAGTGGCCTGATACAGTTACAGTTGTGCCAATCCCCTCAGATATCCTCTACTCACTGCGCAACTGGTAATTAATCAATCACTGACAGCTTTTTGAGTTTAGCCCTCTGTGTGGTTTGGTGCTGGGAGGTGGCCTAATGGCCATGTAATTACTGAGTGCTAGGTAAAGCTGAGCAGACTTCCAGGTAGCCACTGCGGCCAGCTGCTTCTGGTTAGGTGAGTCAGGTTAGGCTGCCTTTGTGAGTGACTGAGGCCGGAGACGAGAGCTGGAGCCTGGAAAACCTTGCCTGGAGGCAACAATGACGGATTTTGATTACTGCTTAATTGCTTAAAAGCATATCTGCATCTAAATCATGAGCATAATGTACTCCACTCAGTGAAAAGCATCTAGCAGGAATCGTTTTATGCATGAAAAGCTTGACTCATTCAGCTCAGTCCCAATAAATGAACATGACGTGATTTATCACAATGAATCATCAGAAGTGGGGCATATGCTGTAATTTCAATTCTCACACAAGGTTTAGTATAAAGGGCAGGATGCTGGAAATAGCACAGATGGTCTCTTTATACCTTTGACACAGCAGGTTTTTATGGCAGATGATGAGGCATGCCAGCTGAAAGCACTGGTAATGACTGTGGGGTTTGAACTCTTTCTCCTTCTTACTACACATTAACCTGAGGGGACACTCTGAACGGAGAGGAGATGACATGATTTTTACATGAGCGATGTCACAACAGCACTCCGCTTGGAGATTGAAGTCCCTCAGGCTGGATGAGGACAGGGCCAAAGGAACGGAGGAGAGTCGAGGCGCTCGTGCTTAATGGTCCGTCTTGTGTCTCCTGGCGATGGCCCTCCAATCGTTATCTTTTTGTGGAATATAGTAGGAAGCTTTAAGATCCTGTCTTGGCTGCTTCTACGGTTAATACTTGGACTTAAATGAAGGGGTTTCCATCTCTTCAACATAACGGCACACCCCACCAATGAATAAAAGAACCGTCTTTCATTTTATTTGACATATTTCAAAAGTAGACGCCAGGGTTCGTTGCATTATCAAAGCATAAAGTTGGACAATAAGATTCAAAAGATGGAGCAAAGTTATCCCAGCCAGCGTGGTTTTTTAAGATAATGCTCATTCATGTTGTTTGATCCCAGTCAAACGCTTTTCCTGTTGAATGGCTTGCATTCAAATGTCTGATATATGCAGTGTATCCATTTTGTTGTTGCTCATGAAGATGCTGTCTTTTTATCCTGTTTGGAAGCACATTTAAATATAGATGAAAAGACTGAAGAATGTTCGCGAGTATCTTAGTGTCTGCACCTTTAAGCGTCACTTTCGTGGGGGTGATACAACATTACCCGTCCCTCCTCTGCCCTGTAACCCCCGGTGCAGGATGGGGAAATCCCGTTCTTGGTTCCCTTTTGATGCTCCTTCGTCAGAGCTGGGTGGCATGTCCTCCACAAAAGACGGCTCACAAACTCCCTGCCTCATCTGCCGGCTGCCCTCTGACACTGGATAGCAAGTTTCAGTCCTCCTCCGACTGAAGTCTCCTTTGTGATGGCTTAAGTTCACCCTTCCCTCCACAAGCCCACCACCCTGACCCACCGAATATTCAAAGAGACTTCAACAGACAAGGGGGACCTTTTCATATGTGACACCCATGTGGAACAGCTGCTCTACTGTTCAGTATGGAGATTTGAATGTGACTGCAATGGCCATTAAAATGTTGGTCTCATCTTGAAGGTTTCTTGTGAAGTTTTTCACCCGCTTGTATTGCTGTTGAGCTTTTTTTATGAGTACGTCCCTGTTTGGTTTATCTCATGTTGCATTTTGCTTTACTTATAAAAATGAGATATACTTTATTGATCCCAAATTGGATTTATTTACCCCAAACATCTATTTGAGGAAAGACATGCATTGGCTGTTTATTTGCACGATTTAAAAAAATACGCCAACATAACAAGATAAAAACTCATAAACCAGGCCTCTACCCAAAAAAAGGTACAATTTCAAAACCAAATAATTTTTGCTGCACCATTCGAACAGTATGCTCAAAACAACAAGCATGGATCCATCCTGCCTTCTATCAACGGTTCAGGCATCTAAACTCCACAGCCCACCTGAGTATTGTTGCTGACCATGTCCATCCCTTTATGTCACAATGTGGTGCATCATGGATGTTCAGCCGACCAATTTGCTGCGACTGCGTGATGCTATCATGTCAATATGGACCAACATCTCTGAGGAATGTTTCCAGCACCATGTTGAGTCTATTCTACGAAGAATGAAGTTCTAAGGCAAACCCGGTACTAGCAAGGTGTACCCAATAAAGTGGCCAGTGAGTTTATATAGAGTCTCTGTGAAATGTTTATATTTGTTTTAAAAGTAAAACATATTTTCCAGTGTCTGTCATCAAACTCAAATCACCAGTAAAGCAGGACTATGCCAGCGTTCACCGGTTTCATGGAAATTCTGGGCTTCAGACGAGCAAAGAGGAACCCCTGAGGCACTCCCCACATGCTCCCTTGCACCCCCCTCCCCACCGCCTGTGGCTTTGAGCCCCCGGCCTCTCTGCACCAGCAGCCATGGAGGATGGGGGTTAGGGCCACAGATGCTGCTGCTCTGTTCTCCATCAGCCTAATAGAAACAGGCACTACAAATACAACAGGCAGGAAGCTGTAAGTGTGTGTGCCTGGCATTCAAACTATGGTTAATATGGACGTGCCACTGTTCATGGGCATCCCTAAAAAGATCATTTAAAAAAAGAAATGCATGGATGGCATTTGCTGAGTCTGTTTATTATACGTGTCCATAGACTTAAGGGCAGCATCAGCTGAGAGTGGCTCCATGTTGCGTTCTTCTTAAAGGAAACATATTGTGTTGATGGTAAATCTATTAAATTGAAGCGATGCATTTCACTTTGCTTGCTTCATAGATAGAGGATGTTTTCCTGGTTGAGCCAGCAGTGGCTACATTTCCCACAATGCTTTGCGTGCAAGCTCCTAATGCTCGCAGGGCCCCAACCGAGTAAAGAAGGGAAAATTAGCAATAACTCATTTAAATCAAACAGTTAATGGCATCCAATTTGGTAAATGTTCTTTCCACTTTAACTAAATAAACAGATGCACTGATTGTGGCACCAGCTCGGCCTTGTGTTGATTGCATACGCTAGTGAGAGAAATGACCAGCTATTTGCATGAGATAATGTTCAATCACAAAACACTTATGATGTCCACCTGTTTTGTCAAAATGGGTATATGTGTCAAGGCTTTGAGACACGACTGCATACTTTTTGAAGTCAGCAAATAAGTCCCTTGCCTCAAGCCCATCTAGATGAGTTCTCTTCCTTATTTCTGAATTTAAATAGCAATAACTTTGTCTTTGGTTTTAATGCCCAGGGTTTAAAGCAAGAAGTATTTTTCTACACGTAATCCAGCGTTTGCTGTTGACATTCTGCTGTATTTATTTACGTTGGTTGCACATCTTGTAGAGCTCACGTCTTGAAGTTCCCCCTTTTACATATTTCAAACCTTTTTGCAAAAGCAAGCAAGCAATTCTTAAGCTGTTCAGCGACAGCAGAGAGGTGTTCAAGCGATCTCTTTAAAGTGGAAAAAATTAGGGAGGCACTGGCCAGATGATGTTTGCCCCCAAAATCCCCCCCGAGTGCCACCGAAAGGCTGGGCTCAAAGAAAACCAGACGTTCAAAATGGTTGGATCAAACCTCCTGTGTCAGTTACAGACCCCCCACCGGGCTCTTCCCCTGTTCCTTTGTCCACTCGCCATTTACAGTTTAAGATACAAGGAAGTCTTGCTTGAGATATTTTTGCCCCCCCCCCTTCACTGCTGCTCACCAGGGGAACTTGTTTTCTGCCACTCGACTCTTCCCTTCTCGAAGCTGTGCTAAATGTGACATGAAATATGAGTTACGCTGTAGATCTGGGAGGGTAATAAACATCACGGAGCCAACACTTGAGCCCATGTGCACTCACGACAAACACGCTGTGGCACAACACATCACACAACATGTACAGTGGAGGATAATCCCAGCAGGGTGCAGCCATGCGTGACAGCCCCTCTGTAACTCCATCTATCACCAGTGGCAAAGGTTTTTGATGATATTGTGGTTTGGTTAATTTAATTTTCTAAATTAGGAGAGCCATTCATTCTCAATTTTCTCAACAAGCTGTGATGTAAAAAATGGTGTGCAATGCGGTTTTCTAATTAAGGCTTATGTTTTTGCAATATTTATTTTCCTTGTTCCCCTTTAGCGTGCAATTCATCTAGAACAGGCAATCAAAAAGGTTAGCTCAAACAAACAAACAGAAAAAGGGCCCGGGGAAGTGGCAACTTGCCAGTTTAACATACCCGGAAATGAAGCTGCACTTAATAGGTCTGTGGCTAAAGATGGATCGATATGCAGAGGGTTTCCTCCTGGTCTGAGGACCGGGACCCCTCCCCTTGTATCTGATGCAGCAGAGGGCAGAAACAGCTGTGTAAGCCACAGTTAAGGCCTGGAAAACCCAGCGGTGAGACAGACAACCCCTTTGCACTTTAATTTAATTGAGCGGTCATTTGATATGGTCCGGGCAGGCTAGACGGCTGGTTAAATTGTAATTTTCGATGGCTTGATAAACGGCGCTGATGCTCCTTATGGCTGCGTGAAAATAGCTTTGTCTAATTTTTAGTCTTAGATGGATTTTGAGACACTGGCAGTAAAACTATGTGAACTCTGTTAATGGCTGTTCCTTTGAGGAAATTGTGAGAACTCATTTTTAACAAAATAACCTGTCCTTACTTTAATAAGTGGCAATTACCCCGTGGTCATGCAGTATTAGGCATGTACTGGTAGAGAAGGGCTTTCCAATTCATTAAATAATTGACCATGAAAAGCTTAGCAACAGTAACTAGGCACTAAAGGTTTGTATTTCCTTGTCATATTTAGTTCCCTGTTTGTAGCACTTTGTTAACTTTGAGCTCCATACGTTTATTTGTGGGCATTACTGTGCCGGTGAAAAGTTATAATGAACTGGAAATACTGGGTGGAAATGTTATAGAATTATCATTCAGAATACCTCATACATATTTGATGCATTGTCCTTGTGAACACAACAGTATAATGATCATTAACGCTGAATGTGACATCGATATTTTGCTCAAAAAGTCAGCAGAGTTGCCTACATGTCACTTACATGAATGAATTTGTTTATACTAATCTATTTCTTTGAGGATGCGACCCAAATTCCCTACTGTGGTGATATATAAAACTTGTTTTCAAATGGGTTTCACACATAAAGTTTAGGGAACGTTTTTTGGAGCACCATTTGTATGTATGTGTGTCATGTCTTTCTTTTAAAGATCTTCCCTAGCACTTTACATTTCAAATGTATGCAAAGTAGGACATATTTAATAAGAGAATGCCTCATTTGCATACTTTAACCAAATGTTTTAATAAGCTTGTAATACAAAATGTAATTATCATAATGTAAGTAATAAACTTGGGAACTTTCTTGCTGTCATATAGTAACCAAACATACTTCACCTGTAGTGTCTCTCTTTAATCGGAGGAACAAATCATGTGCAAAGGTAATGCAAAGTTGTGCTCTGAGTCATAGAAGCTGCAATCAGTTGCCCTCAATTTGAATAACTTCTCTACAAATAAACACGACGTCCTGCTAGGCTTTGTCTGAATCCAGGTTAATGAACCCCCTCCCATGAGCTCTGCTGCTATCTCACGCAGCTTCACATCTCAGGGGGGGAATCATCTCATACTGAAAAACAAAGTTAAGTGTCTGTATGTTGGCGTTAGACACTTTCACTCATTTCCCGCAGAGCACTGAATCTACCCCCTGCAGGTGGAGCATGCCCCCGATAAATACTGCAAATTCTCTGCATGTACCTGACTGGAGGTGTTGAAATATGCCATATATGTTCTATTGAAGGAAGAATGACATCTATTTGTAGCTGTCTTCAGTGCACATATATTTATTTTGTGGCAGTTTAGCGACCATATTGCCCTCTATGGCACTTGTTGATGGACAAAGATAAATGATGCAGCCAGTTGCTTAATTGGAGCCATCCCTACTCCTTAAATTTAACACACTGTAAATGTTTATTGTCTCATAAGTATGCCCCCCAAGTGTTTTCACTGGTTGTGTGCAGATGAATGGATAGGGAAGCTGCAGCAGATGCTCAAACCATACAAACCGTAGTGAGAGTCGGTGGGATAACTGACTCCACTGGGTCATTATCCAGAAGTGTGTGTAGTCAAGGTTATCTCTTATTGTCATTCTCTGAAAAAAAAAGGGTGTAGGTGATTTGTCCATCTTAGCAGATAGTACTGAGTGTCAGCATGACTGATTTGAAGTGCTTCAGGTAGAGATCATCTCTTTCTCACTGCTAAGAAGCAAAAGATGAGTTTGGATCCATCGCCCTGCCCTTCAAAACAAATGACCTTCCCAGCATTCTCCTTGCTTCTGCTGCCACTGTTATGCATGAAAACGCCTTTTATAAAATGGCCAT